GCTCACTGCAACCTCTGCCTCCCGGGTTCAAGTGATTCTCCTGCCTCAGCCTCCTGAGTAGCTGGGATTACAGGTGCCCGCCACCACGCCTGGCTGAATTTTTTTGTGTTTTTAGTAGAGATAGGATTTCATCACGTTGGCCCAGCTGGTCTTAAACTCCTGATTCTCAAGTGATGTGCCCACCTCAGCCTCCCGAAGTTCTAGGGTTCCAGGTGTGAGCCACCACGCCTGGCCTCCATCAGCCATGTTCTAACACCTCCAGTTTTTGCTGCATTCCCTGTAGCTGCCATGCACTCAAGAGCCTCGCATTAGGCGCTTTGTATGATGTAACAGTCTGCACATGGTATTTCTAATCTTCACCACTCTTCAAGGTTGATATTATTCCCATTTTTAGATGTAAGAGTTGAGGCTCGGAAGTCAAGAATATGCCCAGGATCGCAGCCAGTAAAGAGGCAAAGCCAAGATTCAAATCTAGGTCTTTGAAGCTCCAAAGCTAGTGGTTCCCAAGCTTGGTTGATCATCTGAAGCTTTAGGGAAAATTTCAAATCTACAGATTCCAGAGCTCTGCTCCAAGATCATTCTTATTCAGGAAACTTGGGATGGAAGGGGGTGAATGTGGATTTTTAAGAAGATCCCAAGTCATCTGATACACAGCCAAGGAAATCAGGTATGGCGGCATCTTCTAGCATTTAAGGGTGTGGGCCCAGCAGCCCCATAGCAGTCCCCTTCCCAGTCCTCTTACCTGGTAGGACTCCCTCTAAGACACTCCCTCGGAAGGTGTCCTGGGTAAACTTGGGCTTGTGGTCATTCTGGTCGGTCACGATGATGGAGATGTTCATGGGATCCTCCACTGAGGCACCATTCTCTGACACAGCGTGCCCAAAGAGCTGTGGGGTACACAGCTCTGGGGTCAGCCTGGTGCCACCCACATCCCCAGGCCTAGGACCCCACTTCTGAGGGGACATTTACAGTAGACACTAAAGGCTACTTGCCTCATACTTGGCAATCTCCTCCCGGTCCAGTGGCTTGTTCAACAACAACCAGCCTGTCTCCTTCTCTACAGCAAAGATGCCCTCAGGGGGGCTGTCTGCCCCCGGCCCCGTGATGCTGTAGAAAATCTTCGTGTCTCTGTCTTTATTAGACTTGAGCTGGAGGGAAAAGAAAATGGCAGCTGACAAAGTAACAAATATCCCATGACTGTGACAAAGAATCCTCTGTGAAGAGGGGCACTGCCATAGGAGAATCTGCTCACATAGGAGAGGTTTTCCTCTCTCGGCCCACACATTCAGTAGCAAGAAATCTCATGCAGGCCTTTGGAGGGGGGTCCCTGGGGCCACCAACGATTCCCAGGAGAAGGCACAGTCGTACCTGATTCAGCCTCTGCGGGAAGGGACCCTTTCCATTTTCAGGGACAGATATTGGAGCAACCACCCAATCTCTCTTGTGTCTTCGTAAGATACGTTTGGATGGGAAGATCTTCAATGGATTCCTTTCTTTCAGTGATTTTCTGTCCTGCAAGGAAAGAAACCCCTTAACCCAGAGGTGCAAATAGCTGGGACATACTCAACATCCTCTCACCTATAAAAGTTAAGGGCAGCTGGGCACGATAGCTCACGCCTATAATCCCAGCACTTTGGGAGGGTCACTTGAGCCCAGGAGTTTGAGAGCAGCCTGGGCAAGATAGTGAGACCCTAAGTTTAATTTAAAAAAAAAAAAAGAGTTAAGGGAGAGGAGACCTAGATGAGCCTATTGCAAGGAGAACTCAGTGTTTACTTATACAGGTGGACCAGTGAAATATACCACAGCACATCCGTCTAGTGGAATACTGTGCAGCTCTCAAAATAAGAATGAGTATGCTCTCTATGTGCCAACAGGGAAAGAGCTTTTTTCTTTCTTTTCCCTTTTTGGAGATGGAGTCTTGTTCTGTTGCCCAGGCTGGAGTGCAGTGGCAAGATCTCGGCTCACTGCAACCTCTGCCTCCCGGGTTCAAGTGATTCTCCTGCCTCAGCCTCCTGAGTAGCTGGGATTACAGGCATCTGCCACCACGCCCAGCTAATTTACGTATTTTTAGTAGAGACAGGTTTTCACCATATTGGCCAGGCTGCTCTCGAACTCCTAACCTCAAGTGATCCACCCGCCTCAGCCTCTCAAAGCGCTGGGATTACAGGCATGAGCCACCGCACTCGGCCTGATCTTTGATTTATGCTGTCAAATGAAAAGATTAAGGTATAGGGCAGCTTAATATAGTTTAGCATTTTATTTAACAAACACATTGTGCTTAATATGTGCCAGGCACTGTTCCACCTTTTGTATAAAAGGGTAGGAAATAAGACCATATAGTCATATTTTCTTATACATGGATGAAGTCAGGGAGAATATGGGAAAAACTAATAGTGGTTGTCTGTGGAAAGAGGGTAAACATTGTGCTGTGCTGATACACCGTTACGTAGAAAAAGGTGCAGACATGTGAACAGCATCCTAGCTTTTGCATAAGAAGGAAAAGAATGTTTTTATATATGTATGTATATAAAATAGATAACATGTAAAAACGTGTAATATAAATAAATAGGTAACACATAAATATAGACTATATATAAACTCTGGAAGGAAAGAAACTGGAAACAGTGGTTAACTGCGTCTTCTCTTGGAGGGGTGAAGAGGGCTTTAGGCAAATGGAAGCAAACGAGCGGAGATTATTTCTTGTATAGCTTATTAATATTTTTTATTTTTGAACCACGTGGCTATATTAGCTATTCAAAAATTAAAAACGAAGTGTGGCCAAGCACTCCAGGTGCATCTTCCTGAAGGCTCATGGGATTGGCAGGCCTGTGTTTAGAACTGCCTTCAGTTGGGGTTAACATGGATAAGGGAAGGAAGTAAAGGGAAGTGGGAGAGGGAATCCAAGGGACCCAGTACATGGGGTGATTACTCACAAGGCAGCTCTTGGCTCCACTGGCCTGACCTCAGGCACCACTGTTGGGTAGCTGCAAGCACTACCACCCTTAAATCAGTGCTCACACCCAAGCTGTGGGCAGCTGAGGACTAACACTTGCTCCTCTGAAGGGTTGACTTGGCTCACAACACCCGTAGCAACCAAGGGCTCCTGGCCAGAGATCTGGGCATGCACAGAGAACATCTTTCTTTTGTCCTGCAGGTGGACATGGTGTTTTACCTGGACTGTCTCGCCATTCTGCACAGTGAAGTCGTCATTAACAGTGCTAAACAGAGCTGGCTCTTGCCCAGGGCAGCCCATGAATACTGTGGGGAAGGGGAAAAGAGAGCATTAGGAAGGCAGGAGTATTCTGGAAGTTGCCCCAGGAAACGAGACTGACAAGAGTCCCCTGACTGGATCAAGGACCGCTAAGTGGCTGCAGAAGGGGGACTTAGCTTACTTCCTCTGACCAGGAGTATGACTAACACAAGTTTCAGATGAGGCTTCCAAGTTTGGTTTCCAGAGGGAAGATCGCCTCGAGAGAAGATCTCCTCGTGGTCAGTTTGTGGGTCAAACTCTTCTTTGTTCTTGGTCCCAGAGGACCAAGATCATAGACATTCAGGGACATTAGCCTCAGGTGGCCTCATGTGACATGCGGTTGACTAAGGTCATAGCTAGAGGCAGAAGATTTTCTGAAGACTGTGAGTCTATTTACACACAATATATATGCCCACACAGATCACTTGGACACCTTGGGTTGTTTCAGTTCATTTCGCTCCTTCTGAATCCCCAATGGTTAGCTACTCTTTAAACAAGCACTCCAAGTTAGTAACCACCATTCACCAGCTGGAGGTGAATTTCATCCTTGCAACTATGATACCAAGTTGGTATTATCCCCTCCCCCTACCCTTTTTTTTTTTTTTTTGAGACACAGTCTTGCTGTATCACCCAGGCTGGAGTGCAGTGGCACGATCCCTGCTCGCTGCAACCTCCCCCTCCCGGGTTCAAGCGATTCTCCTGCCTCAGCCTCCTGAGTAGCTGGGGTTACAGGTGTGTACCACCACGCCCACCTAATTTTTGTATTTTTAGTAGAGATTGGGTTTCACCATGTTAGCCAGGCTGGTCTTAAACTCCTAACCTTGTGATCCACCTGCCTCAGTCTCCCAAAGTGCCGGGATAACAGGCGTGAGCCACCGCGCCCAGCCCGCTTTTCAAAGATTAGAAAACTGAGGTTCAGAAGCCAGGTCTACCTGAGTCCAAGACACACACTAGAGAATATTCACAACCAATGTTGTTACCTACTCTTCCTTATGGCCAACGCAAGAAATCAGGGAATCTGCCAGGGGCTACACCCCGGATCCTGCCAGCACCATGCTCTGCCCAGTGCTCCCATTTTTGCTAGGCTGCAACATAACAAAGACCACAAGGACGGTCCCACGCCTGTCCATAGATATGTCAGGCGAGGGCACCAACTGTCCTTTCAGAAAGGTTGCCTTTTAGTTTCAGATTATTATTTTGGTTTAAAAATATCTTTCCTTAAAATAAGAAAGGATAACAAATGAGGGGTTTTCTTTGGTCAATTTTTTTTTAAATTATTTTTTGGAAACAGAGTCTCACTCTATCACCCAGGCTAGAGTGCAGCGGCACGATCTTGGCTCACTGCAACCTCCACCTCCCAGGTTCAAGTGATTCTTCTGCCTCAGCCTCCCAAGTAGCTGGGACTATAGGTGTGTGCCACCACACCTGGCTAATTTTTGTATTTTTAGTAGAGATGGGGTTTCACCATGTTGACCAGGCTGGTCTCGAACTCCTGACCTCGTGATCTGCTCGCCTAGGCCTCCCA